CCATATTCTACGTGTGTTTATATCAGTGGGAGGACATCAATCTTACTGGAATCTTCAATCATCTATAATTGTGGATTTTAGTACCAAACTCAACCGGAACACGCACAAACCTGTTGAATTAAGTGACGTCTCTAAATTTTGTTGTGTTTATAACGTTTAACTGATATATATTGACATTACTATTTGTACTTAATAACTCTGTTATCAATTTTGAGTTCATATATTATTTGGTTCACTACAGAATACTTTTTAAAAAAAATGTTATAGTTATGTTCATAGATCACTAGGAAAGATAAAATACTTACTTTATCGACATGGAAAATTAAGATCAGTAAGTATGAGATCATTAATCGAACGATTAAACCCTTCATATTGATTAATTCTGATTATCAGTTTTAGAATATGAATCAAATATATTTTAGCAGGGATTATACTTTGTAATATCGGTTATTAACCTTAAGATATTCTGTCAGATAAATACATATCATTGTAAATATTATTGTCTGGTACAAATTTTTGAACTAATTACTAAGTTTTCTATATACATGTTTAGAGATTTCGATAGACATTATCCATATCATGTTAAATATTTTCAATGTTTTCTTATAAATAATAACAAAGTTAAGTTTTGTGGTTCGATATGTCGGATCCAATCATTGCTGAACAAATGGTAATATTCATTGTTTGTTTTATTGTCTTTATTTCAATATCTGTTTCTTCATAAATGATGATTTACAAACAAAATTGTTTTGTATCTACCTAGTTTTCTTCTTCTTTATATGTAAATAATTCTCTGTATTCAATTGTTAATTGTTAAATTGAAATTGTTACTGTCTTAACACAGATAATAAGCATGATTTAATGGGGATAGTAAACTGAATTTTGTGATATCATGTTCTTTTAAGTCAGATTTGTTTAGAATGTGCTCAGTCAACTATTTGTTTAGTTGAGTGGTTATAGAAAGAGATTCAGTTCTCAGATACTTTTCATTATAAAAAGAAGTTATTTTGAGACCAATCAAAAACCTAGTAGCACTGAATAGCTGTTTCATCTCAATTGTGGACTTTTCATCAACATTCAAACAAATGCTTCTACATGACCCAACATTTGATCTTTATTTCTAACTTATTTCATAGATGCAGAATAATACGAATTCATTGTATTTCGTGGTTTCTCGTCAGCTGCTTACAACCAAATATGTATTGGAATTTTACATTGAGATAAGAAATAATATGGAACAATTGATATAAATGAGTGTATAGGATTGGAATGACAAAGGTTTTCAAACTATATATATATGAACACCGGATTCATCGAAGTAGTCACTTCAATGGTAGTAATGTATAAAAGAAAGATTGCATTTAAGGATATAGTACAGAAAGAATTAGTTTGTAGAAAGAAAGATATAAAACAATTTTAATCTCATAGATTAAGGTAAGACAAAGAGTTTGTAAATCGACGCCATTGTGATTGATTATGAGCCATATCACCCAGAGTCTCTAAACATTGGTTACCATACTCATACTCATAAGTAATTCTTCTTAAAATGGATTTTTTTCTATAGAAAATGACTTATATATAAGTTTTATGTTTGCATTATTTTATTATTGAAATCACAAAGTAGATTCATCTATTCATGCATACTGATTATCTAATTCAAACTAATATTCATTCAAAAACTATCAAGCAACAATACTGTTGAGTAACAAATTTAATAATCTCGTCACCTAATGTATTTGAAAGAAAAGTAAATTGAGCATGTCGCATGATGAATTTGGTTTACATAGAACAATATGAAAAGTATTTTCAAGCAAAGTTGGGTATTGGCTAGTAGTAGAATCCAGAACGCGCGTTTTGTCCTATTTCGGACTCGTCATCTGGATGTATCTGCATCCCATCTTTGCTTAAAAAGCTTGTGACTTAAGGTTATATCTAGGCAATCCTCACAGGATGCACATATGCCAACATTAGACTGATCAATTTCAGTCCTAAATAACAATGGGAAGATACAAGTAAAACAACACCAAGTGAATATAAAAAGTATTTGTCAACAAACACAAATTAACTCTATTTTACCTGAATTTCTGAATAACGATAGTTTACTGTAACAAAATGTCATTCTCTTGTGATATAAATCAATGTTAAATGTAGTTGCAAGAAAATATAGACTATAAAGTGGTTTCAATCAGTATTCTACAGATTGAATTTTATATTCAATGCTTTGAATGACAAACATTTATTGATTTATTTTTCATCATACTATTCTATATTTCTCTCTTAAGTAATTGGACTAGCTTCAATTGACTCATGATTTCAATCAGTGAAATTTTTAAAATCTCCACAGAACCCCTTCTGATAATAATTATCTGCTCACTAGTGACTGACTTCAAGTGATACTCCTGGAGTTCTAGTGAGAAACAGTGACCAGTGGAGTTCAACCAGGTTTGTTGTGAGATAGGAACTCACTAAAGACAATGATGTGGTTGCGCAACTTCGTGGACTGGTTGAAGTTAGACATTAATACCGTTGGATACTAGCTCAGTGGTCTAGCTGGTTAAGCGCCTGATGAGAGACCGATAGGTCCTGGGTTCGATTACCTTACTTAGCCTAACTATGATTCAATAGTTCATATTATCTTTACATTTAACAGTTAACACTATTCTATGTAGTTTTACCATAGTTTTCTTTTTAAAAGATACCTCTTGTTTTTATTATCCAATATACAATACACCATTTTATGTGAAACATGAACCACTACTCTATTGCCTGATCTAATCTTATGATGTAAGTAAATGAATTTAGTTCTGTCATAATCCACATTATAAGGTGATCGAATATTTATTCATAGTTGTATTCATGTCATATGAGTTTGTCAACGTTATTATTTTTCATTTATTTGCACACTAAAAATGATCAGATTATTCATGATAAAGTCATCAATTTGTCATCTGTTGAATAATCTATAAATTTATTAGTTATAATTAATTCACATGATAATTCGTATTGTGTTATTTCATTCATGTCATCAATTTCATCCATCATTTATGTTATGTAATAGTTCTAAGAACTTTGATTACTAGTGAAATTAATTAAATTCTAAGTTATTTATATATCAGATGGGTTTTGTGGATATTATAATAATTTCAATGGTTAAGATTATGAGTCAATTGAAGCTAGACCACCATGGAAAACCTGGAAGCATTGGACGGCCGTTTCGTCCTATTGTGAGACTCCTCAGCAGTGCACATCCACTACCTCGCCCCCCTGCGAGATTCGAACCCAGGACCTACTGGTTTCGCGCCCAAGCACTTAACCACTAGACCAATGAGCCGGCATCCAACGGTGTTAATGTCTAACTTCAACTAATCCATGAAATTGAGCGACACATCTACCATTGTCTTCAGTGAGTTACTATTACACAACTGGCCTAGTTGAACTCCACTGGTCAATGCTTCTCACTAGAACTCCAAGAAAATGCCTCTTAAAGTCATTCACTAGTGAGCAGATGACTATTATCGGTTATTATTATCGTTAGTTTAGATCTTTAATCTCGCAGGGGTCGAGGTCGTGGATGAGCACTGCTGAGGAGTCCCACAATAGGACGAAACGGCCGTCCAATGCTTCCAGGTTTTCCATGGTGGTCTAGCTTTAATTGACTCATGATCTTAACCACTGAAATTATTTATACATGTTAGAAAAAATGAACAATCAAAATAGAGAATATAAATATTTTTCTAATCATAATGAAGATTTTCTTTGTATTAATGTGTGAATGAGTGTTGTATCTGCCATCCTACTGTTTATACTTGATGATAGAGAACCAGTGTAATTATTTGAATTACACAGTGCAAGAACACAGAAGGCTGGTCCAGGTGAAAATTTATTGACTGCTGAAAACATATCCTCATCAAACTTAAGTACAATCATCGACATGGTGATTTACACACTTGATGATCAGTTAATAAATATCATATACAGGGGAGGGGGAATGCACAAAGCTACTTTAAGATACACACATAAAGTTCACATTAGATTAATATAAAGGATACAATTCTCACGTCTGTTGTATTGACTGAAATTCACACTGAATCGATACAAGAATACTAATCTGAAATAACATCACACCTGTCACAGCGGACATAATTCATACCGAATCAATGCAGAAATAATAACCTACGCTATTATCATATTTCGATCTTGCCATATAAATTGAATATTTTTTATTAACGCGAGTTTGTGCAATTTATCCTTCAAATCTATTCTCCTTATTCCTTTTGTTCATGAATTGTGGACCAATGTTGACTGGATATTGAGATTATTAAGTTTGATCTGTGAATATCCAATTAATATTTATGGGAAGAGGACCAACTATTCTGTTATGCTTTAATCGTAAGTAATAACATTTCACTTTAGTGTTTTTTTTTAATTCGACAAGTACAAGTACAACAAAACTAAAGCGGTTTTGTGAAAAGTTTTGTGCTGTTTAAGGATTGCTTTCTTTTTAATCTAGGATGAGATGGCTACTTAATGCTCCATGGTTTCCTATGTTTCTTAAGTTGATATCGGATTACGATAAAACTCATTTCTTGAAAAAATATTACATCACATTTCTATTATTTATCGATTTCTAAAACTTTTCATTCATCCTCGATCTAATTCTTTCAGCGACTGATAGTGAATGAACTGAAATATAACTTCAAATTTTGGTTTGTTTTATTAGTCAAACTGTAGGAGATTTAGATGTTGTTCAAAGGTCGGTGTTTTATAAAAAAAAACGCTAACCAGAAAAAATTATTCAAATCTTTTAAACTCTGCACTGGGAGTCAGAAGGTTTTCATTTAGAAAAGTTATGACGCCTCATGATGAAAGCCGAGTTCCTTCGGAAGTTACGAGACCAATGCCGCTTCTGACAACCAGAGCAACCATTTATTTAGGTACATGGAATACTCGTACAATGTGGGAGACATAGCTATGAAATTCACCTTTAACAACTAATATCTGTAAAATGCTGTAGAGTGTTTATTTAGTACACAATTAAAATTCATTTGAATATACTTAATTATACATGATTTGATAGTGAAAGTAGTTGGAAGTTTACAAATTGTTCTTTATCTCATTCTGTTTATCTATAGCATACACAACATTGATTACATGCATCTGAACAGGTTTTCTTTTCTATAATTCCAATTTGTTGTGCTTCATAATGCATTTGACATGCTACACAACCATTACAGAAACATAGTTGACAGCAATCGTTGCATCCATCACCCTGAATTATAAAATAAATCAAATAATCAATTCATTCAGTGTATACATACATATATAAAAAAAGATAGTATGAAAAGATTAGTTCAGGATCCTATTAAATTTCAACTGAAACCAATGGTTATCGATGTGATGAAACAGTATTTCATTGTTTATATTGTAGTATTTCCTTCTTGTCTTGGCTAGCTACATCTAGGTTGACATGCGTTGCCGTGGGGCTAATGAATTTCCTACATCTATATAGGAATCATTTAGAGTTATTCAAAAATGTGGTGATAATAATAATAATAATAACTTGTCGTAAACTATGAAGGTAATGAAAAGATCTGTAATCGAACAATGCATTTATTTCATTTAGTGATATGATGGGATGAAAAGGCAAAATTACATTTTTGACTCATTATAATTCTTGATTAATATTACTTCTGTTTTTAATTCAGTATAGTGATTATACCGGGTAATATTTATTTTATTTTTTATGTGATATTTTATTCAGTTTAACATTGATTCATTTCAGTTGGATGTTTATTCAAGGTATGGTGTTCTTTGTGTTAAATTAACGTGAATTACTTTTAACATGACATGTAACCTGCTATATTCATGCTAATTTCATGTACGTGGCCTTTTCTTATTAATAATCAAATAAATGTGCCAATCATTATATAAAAGTGTGTACTTTGAACAAGGGTCATCGTGTTTTAATGGTAAATAACTCTTCATTTGTATCAGTTTTTGTGTTCTTGCTTCGCTTTGTAGGAATTGTAATGATTCTTCGTTTATGATCATAAATAGTAGGGTGAGGGTGACATAAGATTTAGTAAATCGTCATATTTTCACACTTTCTAGATAAATCAAAGGAAGCAGTTTAAAGTAAGTGATTAGTTTTTGAACTGTATCCTGCTTTTATTAATCCAATAGACTAGATGTATAAAATTATTTACTAAAATTATGGTATGTGTGATATCTCTCTGATTAATGTAAGTGATGACTAACACCAGTAAGCCTCATCAGTAACTATAAAAAGAAGTTTTTGATATACCACAACCTTACATTTTAAAGCAGAATCCGAAATGTCAGACCTATTTTCAGGCAGGAAAGGTGATGCATTGTGACGACTCAGATTTCTAAGGGGTGAAACATACGCTATAGATGGCCTAATTTTCTATCGAATGAAAGTGAATGTATGAATTAGTTTTTATAGATCTCCGATTTGTTTAGCTAATCAAAACTGTCTTCTCGCTTGTGTAGCCGTTTGGGCTCATGTATAAGAAGCCTACATTTCAGTATCAGAATAGGACAGGGAATCACACAACAGATTGTTATAGTGTTTTGCACAAATACCTAATATGTATTTGAATTACCAGATCATTAAAAAGAATGTACATAACAACGTACAACATTATAACTTCTTATTAAAACCTTGAGATGTCCAAGTCAACTTCCAAGCATCATTACTAATCAAAACTGTCAACTAGGAATAAAAGTTTGAATAATATTTTAAAGTTATTTTCCTTATATTCTGTGCAATTCAGATAAAACTTTTCAAGCAGTTGTTTAAAAATTCCGTCGATCAAAATACCCAAGATACCAATAAAAACAATTAGTATTAGCTATGATTGGTTGGAAATTACTATATATATATATATATATATATATATATATATGGGTAAAAAGACTCAACTTCCGCCTCCTTGTAGCGGAGGTGTTGTTCATGAAATCGAGAGGATGAAAAGCGAATTTCTGGCGATTTAACCGGGTTGGTGAATACAGAGGATACACCCAGTGGAGTTGGAAAACCAATAGTGCATATGGGTTACAAGATCCTGAGGGAACAAAAGGCGTATGAACCAGTTATTGATCACCGGCTACCATGGGATTGCATCGCCTGACGTGTATCAGTACTTTAGGTCGAAGGCTCCGGGTGTGGCCCCCTAAGAAGACCACCTGCTTCGGTTTGGGCACCCCGTCAGTATCACAGCCCACACACAAATCAAGTGACTTGTATCAATATTTATGTGTTCAAATAAATAAATAAATTTTCTATTTTTGTAGCAAAATCAAACTGATTTTTTGTAACTGAGTATCCATCTCGAAATAATTGGAGAATAACTTAATTACTTAATTATAATTATAATTTTAATCATTTTGGTTAAATCAATCAATCATAGATTGGATAAACTATTTATAATTACGTCATAACTACGACTAACCATAGTCTACAAACTTTTATTTACATACTTGGTGAAAAATACTGATTTCGAAAGAGCAGACCACACTAGAATAAACAAGACTAAGGGAAAACTTGAACAGATAAAATGATTATTTCGAAATCTTCAAACATTGATAGTGCAAATCTAGAAATCCGATAGGTACCGCAGATATCAGGTCTTAAATTAGTGTTTTTGGTGGAGTTTTGTTCTCTGAGCTGGATGGTTTGGACGTGGAGCTTTCATCGTTCTTCTGAACGACATCATCAGCACAAACTTCAGACTTCTATCTGAAGTTTGTGCTGATGATGTCGTTCAGAAGAACGATGAAAGCTCCACGACCAAACCATCCAGCTCAGAGAACAAAACTCCACCAAAATCATCCACCTGAGCTACAAATCTTCTCCACCATCTTAAAATTAGTGTGTTAGACAACTTCTCCGTCTCAACCCCATGAATTCAATGTTTGCTGTAGGTAAAGAAGAATAGGATCTGATTTGAATTATTATTATCATGTATATTATGATGAAAATTACTTCGTAATGCAAGTTGTTAACATCTGATGTTTAGAATTTCTATCAAAAAATCAAGTTAGAGAATAGTTTATTCTGCATACCGTCTACTGGAATTTACCAAGTGTCACAGATATTAATTACTTTTCACATATTAGACATGAATTGTAAGTAAGGAATTCGGCTTTAATTGACATGACCAATTTTCAACAATTGATTGAAGTGATTTTCGATTGAGATCATAAACCGATTGACGTTAGATAACCAATGAAAACCTGAAAGCACTGGACGGCGATTTTGTCCTATTGTGGGACTCTTCAGCAGTGCGCATCCACGATCCCGCTCGCGGGATTCGAACCCAGGGCCTTCAGCCTCATGCGCTAACACAGCCTACTGGATCACTGAGTCGGCCGGCATCCATTGATGTTAATGTCTAACCTCAACCAGTCAACGAAATCACACAACCACCTCCGATTGTACTGATGTAGATACTTGTCTCTACCCGATACGAATTAGCTCCACTAGTGAGCACATGGTGAGGAGTCCTACTATAGGACGAAGCGGCCGTCCAGTACTTCCATGTTTTCAATGGTGGTCTAACATCAATCGGTTTATGATCTCAATCAAAAACTTAATAATCTCCACAGCCCCTATACTGAAGTGATTTCCTTCCAATTTTTTTACCATTTCATGGTAATTAATACAAAATAGTAGTTCTTGCTTAGAATAATATGAATCAACATAAATCTCTTTTAACCGAATGACGTAACGAATAATAAATATAAATTTTAAAAGATTTCATGGGTTTTTGTTTCAGTTTCGTAAATGTGCAATGAATGTTTTCTCATATTCTTTATAATATAAACTTCATTGAACAATGAAAGATATAATTTGTTTATTGTATTCAATTTGAAATTTCAAATGATCAACTATAGTTTAAGTGATTTCATACAAGTATTTATATAACAAATATTATCATATGAACTGAACTGAATTCGTTATGTATCATTTTTATCAATTTGAGATTATTCTAAATTCTTCTCGATTCTATTAAAACAGACTAGTTAGTAATAGAAACTAATATATTTCAGAAGGTTATCTAATGGTATTTGTTTATTTATATTAATAGTAAACATCAATGTGTTAATGCCAAATTATACAGTAGAAATAATAAAAATAGAACAGAACTTCGTAAGAATTCACATGATTATTGATTCATTCATGTTTTTACATTCACTTCCAGAAATATAGATTGAATTATTTTAAGGAACAGTCACGTATAATTTTAATAGAAGAACAATGATAGAAATAAAATTGTTTAATAATATTTAACAGATAATTATGTAATATCATTTTCATACATGTGAAATGTGCTCGTTCGCATGCGAATCGACAGTGTAATAATGTCATTATGTCATTATTAGACATGATGTATATATATATATATATATATATATATATATATATATATATATATATATATATATATATATATATATATATGTATATATATATATATATATACATTCTTGGTCCATTTTGAAGATTGGATACATGAGAGGTTCGTTGAATCTTATAGTTTACAAAACCGATTAGCCTTAGACAACCATTGAAAACCTAGAATCACTGAACGGTTGTTTCATCCTAGTATGGGACACATTGAAAGTAGACACAAACAGTCTTTTCAAGGTTTGAACTCATGACCTTCAGGTTTCGTGGCAAAAGCTTAGGATGTAGACTGATGAGTCAGCACCCAGTGGTGTCGATGTTAGTGAACCTACTAAGATGATCATTGGGCAACATTGGACGTATTTACAAAATGTATTTTTGTATCTGTAGTCGTCAAGACTACCTCTATCATTACTTTCCATTAGGTAATTAGAAATCATTCATTTGTTTCAGAAATTTATATACCGAATAGAAATTTATTATATAACGGTTATCGGGACGACTGATAAATGAAACCTTAGGAATTATCTGGAAGATAATCCACTACAACATAACTGTGAGATTGAAGATTCTCTGTGGTATATTTAATCTTATATATATTCGTAGGTTTGCAAATAATGTACATGATTTCTTAACTTGAAAAAAATGAAAAATAAGGGTAAACCAATTGATCCCTTTGATAAATTTCGATAATGTAATAAGAAGACGAAGATTATCAGAACTAGTGCTATACATTACGAACAATCTGATCACACATATACTTGCTAAGAGCAATTATATATAAAAATAAAAGGTCAACTAGACTGGAAATGGGGTAAGAGAAGACAAGGATGATA